CGTGTCTCTCGCTTGCATCTTACGGAGGCGGAGCTAAGACGCAAGGAAGGGACGCGAGTGAGGGAAAGGAGGAGGTCAAATATTCAATTGAGACGAGCCTTGAGTCATCACCTGCATCTTCCTCTGCTTGATGTAGGCTGGCTCTGCGTAGCCACAGAAGAAACGCTTGTAGTGCGCCCCCATCAGGCCAGGCAGAGACCGCAGCAGCAGCTAGAGGAAGAACAACACACCTTTTAATTTTCCACATGTACACACGTCCCCCTTACAGGAGATCACCACTGCAGACAGACTAATTATAAGGTGATGTACGCTTCCTTATACAGCACATTTCAACACAAGGTGATTCAAAGTGCTTTACAAAACACATTAAAAGCATTAGGATTAGATTTGAAAACAGTCGCAAAAAGGCCAAGAATTGTAATTAAGCTAAAATAGAACAGTTTCAGTACAGTGTAAGATATGAATAGTTATTTAATGTAATAAAAGACAGCAGTAAAAGAAAAACATTTAATTAATTTAATAATTAATTGGGACACAGTTCATGAAACACTAATAAAAAATACTAATACTCAATACAAGTTAAGGTCCTGAATTCAACATGTTGCCTAACTAAAAGTATTAAAATGAAGAAATACTTAGTAATTAGAAAAGTACTGATACTGCACAATGGTCCATCTTAGCATTATTAGCATTAGCATTAGCCCAGCGCACCAACGCAGAGAGACTAACTTATGGCAATACAAAAGAAAACATGGGAGCGGTGGAGATGAGGAGGTGTCGGCGTTCTGGCGATTTACTCGGAAGGCTTCAGTAGAAGCTGCTGGGAGTCCCAGCAGCTTCTACTGAAGCCAGTCCCCAACTCCGGGGACTTCGGCTGGCAGTATACGCCGTGAAGTGGTTTGCGGCCTGCCAGTAAACCCAAAGCAGAAGAAGAAGAAGTGACGTCAGCGGCTCATTTGCGTAATCTTTCCACAGCGACTTATTCCGGTGTGAACGCGATCTGTACTTAGTGCTCTGGGGTAAAAAGTGCCGGCACTAAGTACGGCAAAGTACTTGGTGTGAACGCGGCTAATTACTACTTTTACTTTTGGTACTTTAACTATATTTTGATGATAACACTTTTCTACTTTTACTTGAGTAACATTTTGAATGCAGGACTTTTACTTGGAACAGAGTATTCCTACACTCTGGTACTTCTACTTTAACTTGTGTACAGGATCTGAGTACTTCTCCCCCACTAACCTGTATGTGGCACAGGGTGGTGAGCCTCATCTCTCTGGAGGGGCTTCCGCAGGCAGTCAGCAGGGGGGCCCGCACTCGCTCCAGGGCCGCCAGCCCGACAGCAGGCAGGGCCGAGCAGAGCCCCAGGAAGAGGCTGAGGGTGGCGGCCATGGTGGGGGGGTGGGGGCTGACCAGCGAGGCGTCCAGCAGGGACAGGATGTCAAACAGCTCGTCCTCGGTCTGAGGCCGGTAACGCTGCAGGACCCTCAGGACCTCACACTGACCCCAGACGTCACACTCCTTCAACCTGGGAACGGGAACACACACACACACACACACACACACACACACACGACCCTTACTTGAGGCTTTGTGAGGAAATGTTCTGCAGGACGTCGACGTCGAGGAAGCAGAGGTTGGTTCCTCCGAGGCTGTTGAGCTCCGTGCTGCCCAGACTGTTCCCCTCAGTACTCAGATACTTAGAGACGATGGCCTTCGCCTGGTGACAACAGGAAACACTCATTCATCAGGACACACAAGCACATATTTGTACACATACAGTAGCAGTCAAAAGTTTGGACACACCTTCTCATTCGAAGGTTTTTATTTATTTTATTAATAATTTACCATTCCAGGTGACTACATCATGAAGATTGGCTAATGGTTACACAAGCCAAAAAAAATCGTTATGACATCATAAAGTGGACAAAATCTGATCAGCTCATTTTCAGACAGGTTTTTATAGAAATGGATCAGGAGAAAAAGAGAAAGAATCTTTTTTCCTGAAACCTTTTGCATAATAGGTCCCCTTTAATTAATTGTCTGCTCACCAGGCTCGAGTCCCAGTCCCCATTGTCCGAGTCCATCAGAGAGGAGAGAGTGTCGATCTGAGTGATGGTCCACATGTCGATGTTTTCAACTGTGGCAACGCGGGACGCCGGGCCCAAGAGCTGGACCTGATCTTCTGGGATGTCAGAGCTGGAGTACGCCTTCAAATATGTGAGAATAAGAGTCAGTTAGTCTGTTTAAAGTTCTCTGTGGAGATGTATCTGTAAATGAACAGAGGGAAAGTGAAGATGAGACACTTATGAGAGGATGAGTCACTCAAAGAGTTTAAATGCAGATATATTCTTGAAAACGGAATCAGACTTTGAGGGTGGGAGAAGCTAAGATAATGTCCCAAATAATTTAAAGGAAAATCCTGTGTAGCATTATCAAAGTGTCTTGTATCCATAAACAGACTTATGGAAACATAAGGACAAATATGTTTTACATTATTCCTATTCCATTTCCATATGGTACAAGAATAAGTGAACGCTTGCACACTCTTAAACATATTGCTCTATGTTTGTTAAAAAACAACACCTTTGACAGACCACCAAACCAAAGAAGCAAATAACACAGAATATTTAAGAATGATTCAGTAATAACAATTCAGGACAAACACAAAACTAAAGAGACGTCCATAGAACTGATTATATATATTAAAGAAATACTGAATGTGCACAAAACAAGTGATATTCATTAAGATAAATGTGGATAGGCCATCAAGCGTCCTAGATTAGATTGACTTTCACTGTGTGTAAATGTTTGCCGCTCACGTAGATAACATTTTTGACTTGCAAATAAAGTTTTCTGGTACGTATAGGGAGGGAAGAAGTATATACAATTTATACAGATTTTAGGTATATAACTCCTTTAATGAAATGGACTTAAACAGCAGCAACAAGCCTGACCTCTTATTGATCAGACATTTACCAATACATGTTTCCGTGACTCACCTCGTGCAGCTTGCTGAGAACGATCTTGAGGTAATCCTCGTCGTCCACCTTGTCCGTGATGCCGTCCAGATTGTTTTTAACGGTGGAGGCGCTGAGGCAGCAGTTAAACTGAGTGATGTCGTCATAGTCGAAGGGGAACGTCTCATCGCTGATGATCACCTGATTGATCTCTCCTACAGTGCACTCAGCGGCTTGAACACAGGAAGATGAATGTTTAATACGGTGAATTCCTGAAGAGATGATAGCGGATAAAGGAGGGAGACTCACCGACAGATCGCTTTGATTTGTTCTTAATGGACTTTCTTATTTCTTTCTTCAGACTCTTCCTCTTCTTTCTGCTCACTCCGTTGCTTTTAAGAACCGTCAGGAAGTACTTTAAGAACGTCCGCTTTGTTTTCTGCTCGCAGGAACAAAACAAAACACAAAATGAAACTCAAGAAAATCTCAATCCATCACCAAGCAGGCGACATAATGGCACGATGTACTGTCAATAAATGACAATGCCTTATATGGTGTTTCCTCTTCGCACATATCAAACTTATTATACTATATATTCCTTTGTTTGCAAACGGCTTTAAAATTCTTCTTTACCACATTTCTTTCCCCTTATAGGAGCTGTAATGTATTTCAATCCTCTGTTTATAACTGTATATCCATGTTTTCCTCTGTGAAGCACTTTGCTACTCAAATCAAATCTTAGTTACTTTCTCACTTACTAATGGAATCACAATTTGTTCTTCGATGTGCATTAATCCACGTGTTTGTTACTCACTTTATTAAAGTGATCGTAGAAGCTGGAAGTCAGATACAGCGGTAACATCTCGAGGTCCTTCAGAGTCTGTAATGTCCATGTCGATGCAGCTCTGGTTAAAAATAAAGACATGTATTTTTATCAAACTGAAATTCAAACTTATATATTTTGCTTTCTTTAAATGTTTTATCTGTTTTGACCTTCTTCTTTTTTAAAGAAACAGCGAAAATGTTATTGTTGCTTGTAAGAAATAAAAAAGGTTTTCTAACAAGTTAACAAAATACTTCTTGATAATAAATGTATTTTATTGTTGACGTACCCGTACTGAGTCTTCCCGCCCTGCAGCAGAGTTTCAACAGCGGCCGCCTGAGCGTCTGTGAGGTCCGGACAGTTGTTGAGTTTCTCCAGGATGGACGGGTCAGAGTTCTCGATGTACGACCCGTCCAGAACGCAGCACATGTTCCCCAGCACCGACACATTGTCCTCCGTCAGACTCGTGTTGGTTATACCCTGAGAAGACAGAAGGATTAGAAACAGACATTAAGCACAGACTGGAATACGGTTAGCTTTTCATTCAGGCTGACATTAATGTACAGTTTAAATCCGGGGTTCGTTGTGGTAGCAGATTATATTTAATATCATAAAAAGAGTCTTAATAGAGCACATTTTGAATTTCGCTCACATCTTTACTTTGGAGTCCTGAACTCATTTGATCTCATTTGATTTGCCTTTATTGGAAAGATATAGGGATGGAAACGGAGTAAAGATAGAGAAAGGTTTAACATGCAACAAAGGTCCTACAGCTGAAATCAAAACAAGGACATTGCGGTAAAGTTAAATACTAACCATTCAGCTAAAGTAAAAGTAAAAATAAAAGTTTACAGAGATAGGAAAGGTCAGTACAAACACATGTTTGCACGGGAAAAAGTGTCCTGGACAATGATTTTATTAAAAAATATTAAGTGAATTGCTATTATTTGACACAATGACTGTATTGTACATGTAATGCATTCACACTGACAGCCAACAAGAATCAAAACTACATTGGCATCCTGATAGGTATTTCATTTGAACCTTTATATCGTCACTTAACCTTAATCTCCCTCCAATAAATTGATTCTGTTGTTTCAACACTTTTGAATGTCTAGCAGCGTCCACACAGCAGCGTGCGTTGAAGCTTGCCGGTGAGCTTGTCTGAAACTCGACCAACAACCAATCACATGAATCTCTCGCACCGGACACACAAGCAGCGGTTTGATTGGCTAGAGCTTGTACTGGCATATGATTTAATTGGCTGACGCTTTCGCCGAAGCTTCAAAAGTTGAACATTGCTCAACTTTTGAAGCGAGCAAAGCGAAGCGACGGAACCACAATGCAGTTCGGCAAAGCGTGACGTCACCCCATTCAAAGTGAAGCGTTGAAGCTAAGAGAGACAGTTTAACTTTTGTTCAATAAGTTCTTTTAGTGTTGAACTTCGGGAACTTAAAGTGGACATTTTATGTGATTTGTTTGTTCGTGGACTCACCAGGCAGCTCCTCGCGTTAACAAACAGAGCGCTGCGTTTGTAGCTGAGGTCGGAGGAGAAGACGGAGAAGTCTGCGTCTGAAAGCTGATCGAAATACGACCTGCACATGGCCTCTGGCACCAGAGAGTAACTGCACACAGACAGAGAGTCGGTCAATAACACACATTGCTCTGAAGATCTGTGGAATCAAGAGAAAATCTGTTTTTCAACCTAAATCCAGACTCACTCGTAGTACATCAGCATATCAGGAGGAAACAGCTCGAAGGTGGTGGCGTCGGAGTCGTTTTTGATGTAGTTGTACATGCAGGTCAACTGTTGGTGAGCAGAATAAACCTTTGCATTAATTGGGATACATCTCCTACATAGTTGCACGCTGCTTTGATTTGTAAATGTTAAGGTGAAAGTAAAAAAAAAAAGACATAAAGGAGAAGTAACAGCCTTAAAAATGGTTGAGAAATAACTACTTATTTTTCTAAATAAATAAGAATCTGAAACATATCTTAAAGTCACTCAAAGACTTTAATTTAAGTACATTTCAAATCACTACCTTTCGCCAAATGAAGTTACCACACACACACACACACACACACACACACACACACACACACACACACACACACACACACACACACACACTCTCTCTCTCTCTCTCTCTCTCACCTGAGTCTCCACCAGTGTGACCTTTCTCTTTCCTTTCCTCCGACAGGCTTTGATCAGCTTCTTGATCTGCACCTTCTTAAAAGTCCTCACTCCGGTGCACGTGAAGCCTTGCAGCACAGAGGACGACAAGCTACACAGACATAAAAACACACACACGTTATTCTCGATATACACTATACACAATTATACATACACGGTATACACTATTACTGAGGCCAAGATTAAGATATTATCTGTTCGTGGGAAAAAAACTATTTTGCTATTAATGTTATTCATCTGTATTTTCATTTGTTGTGTGTTTTTGTCTCTTTTTTGGCAAATGAATTACCGTACATATATTTGTGTGTGGGGTGATGGGAAAAGGGGGCCAAAGCAGAAGGAACAGACATGATACGTCTGTTCTGATAAGGGCACCTGATTATTCAC